ATTGTGCCTCTTCACAGGATTTCATATGTGATCAGACAGCTGTTCGGTGTAAGTAGTGCTTTCTGCAGACTATGAGCCCCTTCTATTCATCAATTCTGGAAGCAGGTCCACGAGGACCAGTCCGATATACTAGTGTAATGGCGGATACTACTGATGAGACATGCGAGTAGCGTGTTTTCTCGTAAATCCGCTTCGCGTCCTTTGAAAACTAAGATCTGTTACGGAATTTGCGGAGTCGCTTTGTAGCATTTGCTTGCAATTGAGTAACAGTCAATGAATATCCAGGAAAGTTCAGGAAGACGAGTTCAAGGAGAATATGGATATTCAGTTTTTGTAAACAAGATGCATATAAGAGTTTTGGTTCCCTGTCCCCTAGTCTGTAACTGTCCAGTTGGTGTTTCCCTAGTAAATAACTTCTTTCAACGAAACCCTCTAATCCGTTCAGTGGCAAAGGTACGCCTGGTGAACGGTGTACCAATGCATTTTACTCTTGGAGCCACACACGTGTACTGATGCTCAAGACGGTGAATGTTTGACTCGGAAGTAGAAGATCATGTCGTTCGATGAGAAGTTTACTCTCTTTCCCACTGTTTCATCCGACCCAAAATTCGAAACCCACCGGGAACGGAGCTGGATAGCACGGGGGGCTGAGGACTCCGATTCACACACTATGCTGTCGATTGTTTGTCCGAACACGCGATCGTAACCTCAGGAGTTTGGGCTGGCCAACTCCAAACCACATCTTGTTGCTTGCTTATGTAAAGTTGTATTGTAGGTTATGGAAGAGCCGTTTGTCTTGGTTTCGAAATTCGAAGACGCTCATTTCGGGGATTGTCGGTCTTAATGAACAGATATGGGGGCGAGATGTCCCAAGTCGTTAGAGCAAGAATTTACTGACCGGAAGGTTCGTGGTTCGAACCTGACCTATGTCTCTCGACTTCCCCTGTCTAGGCTTGGGCAACCTGGCAGTATCCCAGCCCTCGTACTTCCTTTGGGTGGCATGGCAGTTAGGCACCGAAAGGGTGCTACAGCTGAACATACTGGAGCAGAGGGATTTAGATTTCAACTGGATCACTGCCCCACTGGATAGTGAGTGGGGGTACGCAAGCGATCATGCGTACCACCGGAAAATGTTGCCTACTATTAAGATCACATATAATTAAGGTCGGCGTTGTCAATTTTAAAGCGCTGGAAGCCACGAATACGATACAATGATTACCCAGACACCTCAGGAACGTAACTCGGTAACAGTTGAAGACATCCATGTGCGTTTAAACTATGGCCCTGGTTTCAAGCCTTCCTCAGTTAACCGTAGTAAACGTATCAAACTTGTATCAGACTGAATTTATCCTTCACGGATGACAATCTCAGTTATATAAAGTCGAACTCAAGTCTATTATCTGTTAAAAAAACAAATTTGTGTAAAAGATTTAAGTTTTCAAGGTTGGTCTCAGACATCTTCGTGTTTCAAACCTTTCCGCTGATGAACACCAATTTCGCATGGCTCTAACTTTCCACATCGCTTCGCTTGAGTTTTCGTCGAAGAGCAACGTAAAAAGGACAAATTGCCCACTTGCATGTCATGAGAAATGCTCCGCGGGAAGTGCTGCCATAACCCGATGCCAAATCGATACGCTAAGATATAAACTTGCTCGTATTGAGGAATTACTCAAAAGAATCGCCTCAGCAACAATTCAGTCCAGTTAGCACGACCATATTAACTGGGCTGATCTTAACTAATTCCTTGTTTAGATAAGTACGAATGTTTTTAGCACTTGTCGGGACTCTCAGCTAGCTGCTGCTCAATAGCGTTAACGTCAAAGCATAAAAAACAAGCAATCCACAAATGGCTTGTACGTTGTGTGACTCAACCGATTTTTTAGCCGTTTTGTCCTATGGAAGATGCAATACCCGGAAAATGTGAGGCCAACACCAAGCGTTTTGCACGAAGCTAATTTCACCAGCTGCGCACATGCCCCCCCCCCAGACAGGCGATTTATCGGAAATCAATACATCTGTCTGACTTGTGCCTCTATCACATGAGCCTTAGCGCACCTGCTGAAATCAGACATGTGAGCTTGTGTGGTCAGGACACATCGCGGTCTCACTCAGTAAAACAACCTAGTGGTGCTGCTTGCTGGTTCGAGGTCACATTGAACCTGTTCAGGTAACTTCTACTGATACAGTGAAAAATTCCATAATACAGGCAAATGCACAAACCTAGTATTCAGGACTGTGATATTCACGTGAGCCCAGCATTCGACAACAATAAAAATATAGTACTGATTGAATGACTTCTGAAATGTTTTCTTTCGTTCAAGCTACCTGTGCTAAAAGTCACGTGGTTAATTAGAACAAGTCCAATGTAAGCAGGAATTTGTTTTGCTTTTGAAAAGGTCACAAGGATACGCTTTGTGTGGTAACATGCAGAATCATTGAAGCATTGAATTAATCACACATTATTAATAAGTAGTATTGTATAGATTTTCGTCACACAGAACTTTTGGGGGCGAGATGGCTCAGTTGGTTAAAGCGCGAATTTATTGCCCGGACAGTCCGTGGTTCGAACCCAACCTCTGCCTTGGCTTCCTCTGTCTAGGCTCGGGCAACCTGGCAGTATCCCAGCTCTCGTGAAACCTTTGGGTGGTGTGGCATTTGGGCACCGAAAGGGTGCTAAAGCTGAACGACACAGAACTTTATAGGCACTTAGTTCAGAAAGATAAAAAAGCATCTCACTGGGGGTTCCTTGGTAAGGAGTCCTGATTCGAAGACCCAGTCAGTACTAGATGTGTTGGTTGACAGAAATGTGTGTGGATGTTTATCCTGTCTAACTGCCAGCTCACTTGGCTACCAATCAACCCATCATATACAAAAGATGGCCCCAAGGTACTGTCCGCATAGCAACGGCTCGTTTTTTTTACCCTAAAACAGTGCTTGAGATGCTGATGTTTCTCCACAACAGCGTTACGGTACATCACAGAATATGTTGATTCTACACCCGGGATGAGATTCAGATTCGAAATGTCAGAAGTTCCCAAGTGCTTGTAAAATCAAATCTACCGAATTAAGTACCCTCTTTGTTTACCCCAGGAAAGCACAAGGGCTGATTGGCCGCCACGTTGTCCACTTCTATGCAGGGGTTATTCAGATCAGTAACGTCCGTACAGCTGCCACCCACGGAAGGGACTGTTGGAATCGATCCATTCCACGTCATGGGGTTTACACCTGCGCAATTCTAGGCAAGCGTGGTGTTTTGTTTACAACACTGATCACTTTTAATTTGTTCAAATCTCATCTGGATCGGCGCGCTTCGCAACAAGGATAAAGTGGCTGAGGAACGCCATTGAATGATTCAACAGGGAACGGTAGAGTCATCCAACCGGCCAAAGTGTCTTTGAGGTTTTCAGGCTGAAAAATTCTAGCTGGTCGCCATTCAGTTCGGCATTCGTTTCTGGATTCCGCTGTCACACCGAACTGAGTCGACTGCTAGCCTGTACGATACGTAATGCCGCAGACTAATCGTGCTTAGTAGAGTGTGTAGCCACCTAAACACCCTGTATAAACCCGGTGGAATGTAGCCAGGGGGTAACTAGAAGGCGGTATTTCCCTAAAGCATCGACACACCTAACCGGTGGCCCATAGTTGCCCAGTCAGATAGGCCAAAAAAGCATTTAGAACCCTGGGGAGTACGGATAGTGATCCTGTTGTCGGCACCGTAAACAGACACACGTGCACCAATCCCATCTACTGTGCCCTTGTGATCTGTATGTACTGCGGAACATGCAGAGGTCCAGCTCAACTTTTCACCTGTCACACGTACAAAAGAGCAATGACTCGCATTCATTCATCAACAGGAGCCTCGCGTGCATATTGCTCAGATAGCTAGTATTAGCTTACAACCAGTGTGAATTGAAGTGAGTTCATCGCAAATCTCAGAAACACTTGAAAGTAGTGTCTTGATGTTGGCAGCTATTCTTGACCTGTTTTTCCAGTTGAAATAAAACGAAGCTTGTCGGGTAATTCAGCCTATTAATGGCCTCATAGTATCTTCCCAAATTCCATGTAACAAAGTCTAGTTACTCTCCCACTGAAACAAACGGAATGAATTAGCCAACTTTTCTTGCACAAAACATTTCTCAGTTACCGAAATTCAGCGACACTAGTTTTTAATCTACAGACTATCCACTTGGATCTTAGTATCCGTACTTTCAAAGTTTTGTGCTGTTTTTTTATCGGCTGTAAATTCGCATTGACAACACACTAGGCACGGTGAACCCCTCAGCAAGGAGCTTCCGGATAGGGATGGTCTCACAGCCAGCGGTGGCATTTCAAGCAAAATATCCGCATGAATTTAAAACATCCCAGTGATTTCAAAAGAATGACATTCGATCCCGTCGGAGGAATACAAAAGAACCTCAGTGGCAGGAATGTTGAAAGTCCGCAATCCGAAAGATCCCTGGATTGTTTTACCACTCTTTAGTAACCACATATGAAGAATATAGCAGGTTGGTGGATTCAATATTCTGGATAGTTTTGCAGAAATGTTGCCGTAGAAACATCAGTCACACTTCAGGAAATTTCACCTCTTCGCATACTGGCAGTGTTGCTGATTCGTATGAGGCCATAACTATGTTATCATACGTGAGCATGTATGGTGGCAAGTCGACACCGACATGCAAAATTTTCTGAGCAGCGTTTCTATTTGCTTTGTGAGGTGAGTTGCAGCTTTTGTAAACAGATGACTGTAAACAACTAGCTGGACGCTTCATTAACTGTTTGAATCAACGTTTTATGAAGGATTACTTGTGTCGTCCTCTCTCTCTCGAGGAAACTTCCGAGAGGCATCACTATCATTGAGGTGCGAATTTTGAAGGCATGGAAGTTTCTCCATCGTAATCGAACCGAAGAGACGATACGTTCTTGTTCGCCCTCAAGGTACTCCCCAAGCCACTACACTGGTAAGATCATCCTAGCTAAACACTGGCCATTCTTTGGTGCAGTTCACAGCTGAACGACCAACTAAAGACGGAAAGCTGAAAGATGAGAGTACGAAAAAACAGTATTCACAGAATCCCCAGTAAGTATCATCGTCGTTTTCCGTTGTTACATAAGATAACGTCTTCGTGACGAGTTGTCGCTTTTATCGATTATTATTCGAGTCCCACAGTGTCAAAAGTAACATTAGTTACTGAACTTATTTCAGTATGCGTCAGCCACCGTTAAGCGAGTTTCGTAAGTATTTGAAAACTTAATTCCCTCGTTAAAATACACTCAGATTCCGGTGAATTTTAACCAGAAGATATATACCACCTCTAGTTAAGGGGACATCCCAAAAGAACCAGAAGTTGTTTCCCTAAGAGAAAGGGCTACTGTATCTACCATATTTACCAGTGCGGGGCCACCAGGACAGTGGACAACATCAGTAGAAACACAAAATAAATGTGGAACTAATTCTCAGACTTGTCCGAACCACGTCCAACAATCGATAATTTGAAGCTGTGAGTAACACTCGCTTGGTGGGCGACAGGTAGAACAAGAAAAAGGTGTATATTAGTCGTTCATAGCACTGACCAGATTATGAGAATATGGCAAATTCGCAAGGACAGGTGTTTACTCGCCATATTCTCCCAAATAAAAGTCTCGTTGAGGATCGCCCGGCAATATGGTATGCACAGTGTGCTTACTAGTGCCATGTGTAACTAAGAGACTGTTACAGAGGTAACCCCAAAATGGATGCAAGTTAGATCCCCATAGATACGCCCGTCCCCGTTGCTAATTTACATTGTAGTAATCAACAACAAGTCCGCATGAAAGCCCCTGTTTTGAAGTAACGTGCTAGTAAGCGACGTTAAAAAAAGCACGCTAATTTGTGATCACTTGCCGGCAGTCCGTCTGTATAAGGATAACACTTTTCAGTTATTCCAGATGTTATGTAGAACAGATATCAACCATTTATTGATTTTTTACTGTGAATGGGACTGATAGCAAAACGCATAAACAGGAGTTCACACTAGGTCTACACGACAGAAAATCGATAGAAAAAACTGATTTTCTTAACTAACAATGCCATAACTTCCATCAATGTTTGAGCAGCAAGAGACTGAGCAGTAATCAGTGATTCATGCGTGAATACTATCAGGCATCGATTCGCTAGGACTGTTTAGTGGATAATCTGGATAATCATGACTTGCCTCACGTAATCGGTATCCATAAGTAGTTATATTTTCAACTTTTATGATTCACATCAAGGACAAAATTCAAACTAGCTGACAGTTTTCAAATTTTAACAAATCCCAGTGAAACCGGAAGGCCTCCGAATCAATGTGGCTTAGATTTCGGGAAAAGCAATCAAGTTATCTAGAAAGGTTAACTTACCGGATGCCATTTGGGCTTCGTTTTGACAATCCAACTGGAGTTGACTTTACAGATAGCGGAATCTAGGTTTTTGAGGGGAATGTGAGAAGGTGGAGGACGAAAAACCCGCTCCCTTTTCACTCCCTGTTTACACGAGGAATGCCGTTCAAACTTCTCTCGGTGGNTGACCGACCTTCTCAATTGTACACAGGCTGGAGAGCCGGGCGAAGACAAAATTGAGGATCTGGAAAGTCCTCAAAAAGTGGCTTTCAAAGGGTGCGACCGATTGACAAAGGGTACTAGGTTATGGTACGTGTTATAAGTCAGCAAAAGAAAAGGAATACAAGCAAAGAAAGTGGCGGGGAAACTGCAGTGAGACCTTTGGTTTCCCCGGAACGAAAGTTAACACAAGTGCTTGTACCGTCCCGCAATCCGCAGACTGCCACACCATAAGAGGCTGAGAAAAATATGCTCCTCGTGCTCACTGTGACGTGCGTGGGCCTTTCTATAGCCCCTGAATCAGCCTCCGAATGAGATAGGGGTTGTTCGTTCCTCAACACGCACACAAATGCACGCACCTCTGCGTCTGCGCACCTCTATGTAGGTTGGCGACTATCCAATGGCTGAAAAAAGCAGCACACTTTAAAGTGACGAAGCGAAATCAACACGCAACCTGACATCGACACACACACACACAGCACCACGGTGATGAGACAGCTCAAATCAGAGTTTGAATAAGTCTGCTGTGGTGCGCCCGTGATTGAATTCACCCGCCAGCTTCTCTTTGCAATGTAAGCCAGAGCAAAAATTCCAAATTGTGCCTACATCTGTTGTTGTTGTTGATGTGCGTCGTCGCACCATGGCCCCAGGTGAACCAAACACGGTCAGTTATGCAATGTGTGGTTACGTTTGTGACGAGGTGTGTGGTGGGGAGGGGTGAGCTTTTCATCCACAACTATGCAACCTGAAGTGACCATGGTACCACTGCATTTTAATCGATCCACCATTAGGAGTACGCGTGCGTCTGTGCGCAACTGCGCATACCGATAAGATATGCTTCCAATCGCTACCCTTATTCTGGCCTACAAAAAAGTGAGCACAAATAACCATAGCAAAAACGTCTGTCATCTCAGTGAGTATGTGTATGATTTAGCGAGCACATTCGCACATTTTTTCAAATAACGGATCGATAACACCCCCAAACGAGCATTCATGCTAGTAGCCAAATTATGTATCCTGACTAGGCCAAACAACCCGAAATGGTAGAGTGTGGCTGTGCCCAGATGTCGTGGGGTTCAGAACGGAGATGAAACTAGTGTTTCAGATGCTTCCACCCCCTACATATTTTGAGCGAGACAGTTTTTTTGATGGAACCATATTCTGCCCATATCAAATTCCAAAAACAAGTCATTCAAATGAGGGCACAAATCGAGTGGTCAGTCGTTTTCATTGGTAATTGCCATCGATAAACAGGAAAATGAATGATGGTCATGGGAACGAGCATAGCAACCAAAAAAGCAGAGCCAAGTCGACCCACAATTTTCCCTGCTAATGTGAAACGATTCTTTATCGAACACTACTCATGAGGTTGCTAAAAGACTACGACCGATTTCACCCTTCTTGAGCTCACCAAGAAAGCTCAGTCCTTAGGTTTTTTATGAGTAGTGCGTGCGACATCTCGTATCAAGTGAAACACTCAGTTGGAGAACATTATGTGAGATAGAATCAACTGGGATTCAGTCAGGTCGCCTCTGTAATGCGTAACTTTTCTGTTTGTTTTCTGTTTGATTTCTGGTGCGGCCCATTTCTAATGAAATGTGGCGGAATATAACCAGATTAATGATAGAAAATAAATCATTCTTTCGGTACCCTTTCGGTACTGCCAAGTCGTCCGAAGGAAGCATAAGGGCTACGATACTACCAGGTTGCCCAAGCCTGGACAAGGGAGGTCGAGATGCAAAGGTCGGGTCCGAACCACGGACCTTCAGGTCAGTAATTTTGCGCTCTTTATAACCCAATCAACGTGCCACATTACAACACAGTATACTCTATTCATGTTCTGTGTGGGAACAGGATACACTCGAATCCACGAATTTCGGGTGTAAGTGGAACCTAAATTTCACGCTTGGTTAAGAGAAACGACTCGATCGATCATGAATTTTCAATTTAAACTGTCTCTACAACAGGCTTTTACACACTTAACCACTCGCCCTAAAACAATGCATTCAAATTTTAAAAGAACGGCTTCAAGTCTGGGGGTGGGCCACAGACTTGTATTCACGTGGATTGATTCAGTCGGTAATAGTGCCACTGAAAGCTACACATTTTGGATCAGGTGGACTCCACTCATTCGGATGGTGTAAACACCATCCAAGGTTTTGTGCACAGTCATAGTTTTTTCTAAAATCTCAAAAGTTTGGCAGCTCACATATGCAATCTTGAAGGCTAGTTTGCACAGAGCCACATATCCTGTTTTATTAACGTTTACAATTGTATTCGCAAGTTGGAACCCTATCGAAACAAAACATATACTCGCAGACAACGCGAGACTACTCTACAAATGCAACATACTACTAGATACGCGCGTGCAGACGTAAGGCACTTTGGTTGACGTCTAACCACGGCACGACCGGAATTCTTCCCAAATAATTGCTCAAAAGATAAGAAGAACCGACGCTTGATGACGAACGTACCTAACGTATTATTCAAAAACGAGATGTAAGGTATGATGAACTGAGCTATACGTGGATGATACTGGAGACTAGGGGCCTTCAAGTGTTTGCGAGTGAAGACACCCATGTATTTAAATGCACTCACAAGCTACCTAGGGGTCCACTTCAGTATGTACTGCCCCGTTTTACTTCACCTGCGTTCCGGAAACCCCGTCCTCGATACAGCTTATGATTATTGGGGCAAAGCAGTGGCGAGGCACAATCCTACCTTTCTTAAGGTTATGATTTCCAGACTAAATGATCTTTGCGAGCACTTCAAATTGTGTTCAAACGGTACAGGCATCTAGTAGACCATCAGCAGACTTTTGCTTCAAAAAAATTGTAGAAAATTTAATCGGGAATACTGATAGAACGAGCTGCCCGTTGGTTTCCAAAACTAGTAACACAGGTTACCATGGTATCCATCGGCGAAGTGAAAAATCGCTGCCAGCTGCCCCGGCGATGCTTCGTCTCCCTTGCCTATACACTACTAGGCCATAAAAGTTCCTTTTCCAATCTTCCATCTCTTTAACCTTTCCCATAAATAGTCAACGAATGAAGGACAATCTTGATGATGTCTCATCTCAGCTTCTCAAATTTCGTCCAGATCGGCTTAGTTGCTGTGGTACCATCGAAATTGGGTAAAGTTAGCGATTTCAAGCGACGCCGTCTTCAACGGTATCCGGGACGGAGGGTACACAGGCTGAGGGGGCTTGGACGCGTCAGGGCCGCAGCTCTTTGTTGCCGTGGCAGCTGAGGAAGTGCTCCGGTCAGGGCAAGCCACAGTCGCCCTGACATGCCCTGGAGCGGCCAAAAGCACGGGCTGTCCGTTCCGTTCGGCTGTGTGAAGGGTCATTGAACAGGTGGCATAAACCGAAGCGAGTGAATCCAGCTGATACACTATCGCACCGTGGAGCCGGTTACTGTGTTTTCCGACCATACATTTCAGATTCGAACATCATTAGTGAATGGGTCAAACACTGTCTAAACGTAACACGCTACTCATAAGGTCACTCAAAACTTCCACAGCCAACGGCCAGTTTCGCTTCACTTGGGACTCATCAGGAAGGCGCAGTTCCCGAGTTTCCGTCAACCTTATGTTCTGCTTGAACCCAAATTGGACAGATTTCGATAATTCACCTCAAGGCACCATCAATAGACGACTCAGTTGGGTTTAGTTGAGTCTGCTGTCAAAACTGAACTCATGTGCAAATGAAAGTAGTTGTCATGCCTCATGAAAAATCACCTGTGATAAAAAAACTGCGTCTGGTTTGAACGCTGTCTAAAAATGTACGAGAATCCATTCGGTTACGTTTAGACCGTTCTTAGGGAGATTACACTACTCTATAAAGATAGTAGTTGGGCACACAACGCCTTGCTAGTTGATGATTCGCTGATAACTGATGACATAGATGACCGTAAAATGGTGCCTCGGCAATCGTTGATCATAATGTAAGTATTGTTATGATCCACTTGGACAGTAGAGTTGAGGGGTTTGACGCCGGACAAAGTGTTCCTGGATCGCATATCCTTTCACATGGTTCAATGTAAGCTATGCAATTAACTCAATGTGAGATAGCCAGCATCAGGCATCTCAGCTTGTTTATAGGGCGCAAGGTATCGGGAAAAGCTACGTCGTCTTTCCTTTTATTCTAAGTTGTACAATGAATTTATATTATTTCTGAAGTCAGGCTTACTTGAATTCATGATTCGTGTTGAAGTGCACATATCTGCTGCGGTATTTACCTTATCCGGGGTGCACCATACATCAAAATAATGAAACCCAAAGCATGTTTACTCAGCAACGTAGGGTTTGTACTTAACTTTATGTTCTACCTTCACGCGAAAATCCATGATCCTCACAACACTGTTTTTATCAGAAGACTCAACTTATTCCCAGCTGATTTTCTCCCTCATGATGCTCTTCAACTGAACGTAATACACGGAGGCCAATTCATGTTCCAGCGATATTCGGGGTAAACTACTAATAATAGAGGGTACATCTTCAACCAATCAGACAACAGAAAGGTGGACCACGAAGCCATACGGATCAGGAATGGACCAACAACGGCAGTGTGTGTAGTGAAGAAATCGAAAGCAATAAATACAGACCACAACGCAACACAGATCACAGACAGACCCATCAGGTCCCAAATGAGATGACTATCAGTAACCAACCTGGCTGAAAACTATATAAGAGGAATTCCGCAGAGAGGAATCATGCACCCAACAGCTCGCTGATGATGTATCGTCAAATGATGACCAAAAGTTTGTAAGTCAACTTTCAAACTCGGCAAACAGATCAACAACCACGTGATCAACTACCGAAAAATGCACCCGAGCTACCAATACTCCAGTTCATTACCGACTTCTATTTTATTTTCGTCAATCGTCAGTGGACAGTACGTAGGCTGGCAGGCAGCCTGATAACTCTGAATAATCGCAACCGCAAGTGAACTGAAGATGGCGACAAAAGGACTGGACTCCTGGTATCGGCCGACCTCGAAGAAGAGACTCGTAGATGCGTATTTGGAAAGTGCAACCTAACACGGCTGTTCATTCCTATCTATTTATCGAAAAGTTATGGCAGGTTTGCAATAGGAAATTCCTGTTTCTGAGCCAAAGCACTGCAAACACGCAAATTTATAATGAACTCTACCTTCAGGTGAATCACTCCGTTCTCCACTTGGTGGACAATGGAGGTTGAAGTGTGTTGTGATCAACTGCAAAACTCGGTTGCCGAACTTCAGAGACCGAAAAGATTCACCCAACAAAAGCACAACAGCTTTATTGCGAACATGTTGGTGTAAAATTACGGACGGCGTCACTACGTT